CACACACACCCCAGCGCGGCTCGCGCATCCCTCCCGGGGCCGCTCCTGCATCCCGGGAGCACCCGCCGCATCCCATCACCGCATCCCACCGCACCCCCCCGCATCCTCCGCCGTGCCGGGCGGTGCCCGCGGCTCCCCGGGGGCTCCCGGGAGTTGTAGTCGGCGGTGCCCGGAGCCGGTCGGGGCGGAACTACGGCTCCCGTCGTGCCGCCGGAGGGAAGGCGGGCGGGCGGAGCGGGCGGGGCGGCCCCGGGGTCGAGCGGCGCCGCTGCGGCAGCAGCTCCGCGGGGCCACGGCCCGGCCGCTTCCCGGCGCTTCGGCGGGGCTTTGGGGGGTAGCCCTGGGTGCTGCCGAGGGTGCTGCCGAGGGAGCCGGTGCCCAACTCGCTGCCGGGGGGGTCCCGGGGGGGGCTCAGCTCGGGGCGCTCCCGCTGTTCCGCCACCTGAGCCCCGCCGCTCTCCCCCCGCCCGGGCCGCGCCGGAGCAGCTGCTGCTGCTCCCGAGGATGAAGGAGGGAAGGAAGGCAGAGCAGCCGCTGGATAAGCACTCTCGGGATTCTCCGCTCTCCCCGCGCTCTCAGGTAGGTGCGCGGTGTGGGTTTTTTCCCCCCGGTTTTCCCCGCGCGGGTTAAGCCGGGATCAGCGCTGCCCGCCCCGGAGCGCGGCCGGTGCTGCCCTTGCCGCCTTTAGGCGGGGCTGGGGCCGCCGGTGGGGCGAGTCCGCTGGCTCCTGCTCCATTTTCCTTTCTCCTGGCTGCCCTGGGGGGATGTGAGCGCACATCCTGCTCCCGAACAGGTACTGCAGGTAGGTCCTCGCTTGCCAAGGTGAGACCTGAAACGCGGGCGGGGGTTCCTCGGGGGCGTTTCGCGTCCCTGCGGCGTGTGCTGGTTCTAACTCGGCACTGAAGCACATGTGGCTTTTTTTTTCCCCCCTCTCCCGTGTTTCCGTGATATTTGCGATCTCCCCGATCTGACAAGAGGCATGGAAGCAAGGGCCGGACTTAAACCCGGAGAAGTTGGTACAGCTGCGCTGGAAGCACTAAATGTGTTTGCTCTGATTTCCCTGCAGGCGCTCGGCTGCAGAATTACTTTCTGAATGTAACAAATTCCAATTTCTACCTCACTGAGAAACAAGTGAGCTCTGGCTCACCTTCATGGAGGTCACTTGAGCTTGGCTTTACTGCTCAACCTTCTCTCTTTTTGGCTAAGAGCCTTATTACATCCTCTGCACTTCTCTGTTGCTATAGCAGGAGTTTATTTGGCTCGAATGAGATACCATTTTTATTTCTTCTCTCTTTAGTAGCTCCTCAGTATCCTAAAACTGCTTCCTATGACGAATGATGCAGTTGTTCATCCTTCTAGGACCTTCCTCTGTACTTGATTACCTGTTGAATTTTTCATTCATGGTTTCAGGGTGTAGATGAGTGAATTGTCAGAGGATGCAGTTACTGTAAATAACCCACATTTACCCACATTGTTATGAGTGGAATGATGCTGTGTGACACGTTGATAATGGAAATTGGAAAGGGAAAGCTTCAGTAGCTTTGGCAGAGCTAGAGAAGGTCTTGCCCCCTTTTGAGCTTTGCTTTCTGCTCCAAGTTGTAGCTGTCTGGGTTTGAGTCTGGAGCAGGTAACTTCTGTTGGGCAGGTGATACTTCCCTTCAAGAAGGTCTCTTCCAACTAACAGGGCAGTAGATGGGGTGTCCCAGCTGATGTATTTTCAGTACCTTATGCCTGTTTTTTGTACTAATCTCATCTGTTTCTGTGGTGGAAGGATGTAAATTCCTTTAGGACCGAAGTGTGGCTGCAGCATATGAACAGTTTCTCTTTTTTAGGCTTCACAAAGGTAAATGTGTTTGCCATCCCTTCCTCTTTGCACAGCACAGCTCTGAGTCACTGACACGAGGAGAATCTTCATACTTGTGTGATATTTGGCTTGGCTCAATTCTCTGCTTATTCTGATATTGCTGTATAGCATCATATGTTTTGACATTTATTTTGAGTGCATGTTTGAAGCTCTGTGGCTGTGAAAATCCTGTGCCAAATTCGTGAATAAAGAATCTGTTATTTTTCCTGCTTTGGTCTGCAGTGGCCACTGATCCACTGCTGGGATTGTCTGGAAGAGCTGGGAGGCCATGCACAGCCCCTTGCCACTGAAACTTGGACAACTGTCTTGGAAAACCCGTGGAAGTGCTGCAAGTGTGGTGGTTGCAGTTGTCTCCTTCCATTTTTACGTGGAAAGGGGGATGTCCACGGCCTTCTAAGCTGCCTTGATCAAGAAGTGGGTGGCTACAGACCCCCCTGGACTGCTCAGAGAGCACTTGTCTCTGGAACAAGCTTGTCTTGTGCCTTGTGTTTGTGTACCAGTAGTATTATCAGCAGTGCTGGTTGCTCACAGAGCCCAGTCCTGGTCTCTCTGAAGTTGAAGGCTTTCTCCAGCCTCGTTCAGCTCTCTGAGGTCGTGTTGTCCCTGCCTGTTCCCATCAAATCTGTTTGCCTTGCTCATCATCTCTGCTGCAGAACTGCTCCTGGGCTCTGGCAGGGCTCAGGGATGAATGTCACCGTACCTCTCACAGCAGCACTGATCGTGCCCTTTCGTTTTCAGTTGCTGTTTTCCGGGGATCCAGGAATAGAATGGAAAGTCCTGGGAGCAGACAATTTGAGTTCTGGTTGTTTTTCAAGGATTCTCTGCATTCATGGCTTATCAAGGTCATTTTTGGAGGGGCCAAAGTGTTGTAATACAATGTGCTCAGAGGGAGACCAGCACACTTTTCAATACACTCTCACTAAAAGCTCTGATGGGAGAGAGATCATTGGATACTCTTCTCTTCTTAAGCAAAGAGAAAGTGGAGTTTCTCGTTTCTTGGGAGACTTACAGGATTTAAATATTTCTTTCCTCTCTGTAATAAGAGTTGTGGTGGTGGTGGTTGAAATTTCCAGGAACACAGAAGGAGTCTTCCAGCACTTAGACTGGAAAACCAGTGAAGTTACATGTGTGTGAGCAGGAGAGCTTGATCTTACTCATCCACATTCCCTGATGTGACCCCAGGGAAGGCAGGGATGAATCCTGGATCATGGATTTGTGCTTCCTTCTTCCCTGTGACTAGCATGGGCCAGGCTGTGGAGAACAGAACTTGGAGCTGGGGTATGTGAGCTTCATTCCTGACTCTACCGCCAGTTCCACGGAGAACTGCGGCTCCATTTCCCCTCTGCAGAGTGTTCCTGTGTCCTTTAAAATGCTCAGAGCAAAAAGATGGCATCTGTGATTGTAAAATGCACGAAGTTGTGAGTGAATTGTGTACGTGCTGACCCTCAAACCTTCGCTGAGTCCCAGGGAGGGAAGCAACAGCCACTGCTCAATTCCTTCTGCTCCTACGCAGCCAACGTCTCTCTGGCCAAAGGCATGTCAGGGTAGATTAGACTTAAACCTTTTGATCTGCTTTCAGAGCACAGAAAGGGCAAGTTCCAGGCTGGAAACGGGCAGGAGTGCAGTGTTGCCCCTCCTGAGACCCTGCAGGGGATCTGAAGTCAGTAGGATGAGTTCCCAGGGCTCATCAGAGGTCCGGCAGGTTTTATGCTCAGCTCGCTCTGTACCAGTCTGGAGTAACTACTTTTCATCTGGAGAAGTTGGAGGATGTTGTGTTTGTTCCTAACTCGGAGGATTTGTAATCCCATTGTGCCTCCACTGCTGAGGGCACCAGGCTCTAAACACCCCTGAGCAGCCCCAGCACTGCCTTTCCTCAGCCCACTGTTCAACCACCTCCCTTCTTGCAGGACTTCAGAATTAATTCCTCTTGATTTTTCCACTCCTGCAGTAAGTCAGTCTTTTGATTTTTGCACGACCTGTGGGGACACTTACTGCCTTCCTGGACAGACAGGGCAACTGTGTGATTAGATTGGAGGTTCATGAACTTTGGAGTGATTTAAGTCGGGTTTTAAGGGTAAATAGGAGTTGATAGCTGGTGTGAGAGAGCTGCAGACCTGAGCCTTACCAGGGCTCAACACCATCAGCTCTGGGCCAGATGGTCTTGCCTCTGAGAAATACATTAGAGCAATGTCAAGTAAGAGCACAGTTGAAATCCGCTGCCAAGACAGATTTCTCACTGTTGGAATATGTTTCTGTCTGATCCTCTATTTCTAGATGATTGAAAATAGTTCTGGAAGGGATTTTGCTGAGGCCACCTAGTCCATCCTTTCCCACAAGGCATGATAAATACACTGAAACCCTTCCTGAAGGGTCTGTTAAGCTTGTTCTTTAAGTAATGGAGATGTTCTAGCTGCCCTGGATGGCTTGTATTTGACTTTATTAAACTGGTTTTTTATATATTATGGCTTTTGTCAGTGTTCTGGGCACAGAAAGACCTGCAAGGGATGCAGGTGGTTGAGTATTGACCTCTTAATGCCAAGGGCCAGAAAATTGATGGTGGTTCTTGGCAGGAGATGGGATGCAATGCTACTGGATTTTTTGTTTTCCTTCTGCCACAGGGATCTTCCATGGAGGGCATGGGAAAGTTAAAATACCATTCTCCCTTTTTTTTCTATGTAAAGTGAAAAAGACCTTGATTCAAACTTAGCAAATAATGTTGTGTTTGTTTTTTTTTTTCCTTAAACAACATTACCTAGTGGTTGTGTGTGTGGGCAGGGAGGGGTGTGTGTGTGTGTGTTTGTTTTTACTGTAATGCAATGTAAATTAAACTCTGAAATCCGCTCTTGAGGAAAAAGTGGATTCTCATCAGCCCCAGCTACTGAGCTTTTCTGGGCTGGAGGCAACAATCTGCAAACTGTCGGGTCCAATTAAAGCAAATGGCTGGAGCTGTTTTTTCTCCCTCCTGGAGAGAACACAGTTCATCAAAAGCCAGAAGGAAATTTCATCGGGCTCATGAGCAATTATCTCGTGGGATGTAATAAGAGACATCCACTAGATGCCCAGTGTGAACTTTCACTTATAATCACTTTTAAATCTCCAGTAGGCAGATGAGCACTGATCTCAGCAATTTGAAGCCTGAAGTTGTTGTGTTCAATAGAAGCTGGTAGGGGGGAACTTGTTCTTCTGTAGGGTTTGGCTTAGAAATCTGAATTTTGAACGTCCCTGACCTGGCAAAAGATATTCTGCCTTTTTGTGTGTGGTGGGTTGACCCTGGTGGGCAGCCCCACAGAGCTGCTTCCTCACTTCCACCCCCCTGGGATAGGGAAGGGGCTGCAGGGGTCAGGTTGAGAAAGCAAGATTTCATTAGGTACAGGGGTTGCTTTGGAAGGCAAAGACTGACTCCAAACATCCCCCCCTTCCTATTTCTTCCCCATTTTTTATTCCTGAGCACCATGTCGTGGTGGTTATCCCTTTGGTCACTTGGGGTCAGCTGTCCTGGCTCTGTTCCCTCCCAAATTCTCTCTCAGCCTCTCACTGGCAGGACAGCGTGAGGAACAGGAAAGGCTTTGGTGCTGTGTGAGCTCTGTTCAGCACCAGCTAAAACACCTCTGTGTTACCAACACTGGTCTGCTCCCAAATCCAAACCAGAGCACCATCCAAGCTGCTGTGAAGAGAATGAAGCCAACCCCAGCCCAAACCAGAGCTCTGTGGTGTA